GAATGTTGTGGGTGATGTAGATGACAATGATGACCTACAAAGCATGGGCAGCTCATCTGATGAGCTAAGAAGCCTTGACATAGCAAGAGGATTAAATACCCTATTTTTAGTGAGACTGATATACACAATCCTGCATTCCAGCTCGGTATGGAGTTCAAAACAAATGTTCTGTTTAGGGATTACTTGTAGTGACAAACAGAGGGTTAGGGCATAGTGCAAAGTGATTGTCCTTGGGTTTGCTATGCTTCTTTTGTGAAGAGTGAAGGGGTGTACAGGATCAAAACTTTTGTGAAGATGTATTGGGAAAGGATTAGGTTAAACCCTACCTGACCAATTAAGTCATTGACAGACACCATTGCAACAGAGCACAATGTGCAAATATTCATGCATAAAATAGCAAAAAAGAAGGATTTGACAATGATTGAGGGCACTGCAACTGAGCAATTTGCAATGCTTTGGGGTTATGTAGAAAAGATTAGGAGTACTAATCCTAGAACAACAATATGCATGAAGGTAAAAGAAGTTCCAAAAGTTCATGAAGGGGATGAGCAAATGTGCAAGTTTAAGAGATTGTATTTGTGTTGGGGTCCATTGAAGAAGAGTTTCTAGAATGCTTGTAGGCCAATCATTGGAGTGGATGGTTGTCATTTGAAGGGGCCACATGGTGGACTGTTGTTGACTCTAATGGGGATAGATGCAAATAATTGTGTATTTCCATTTGCCTATGTCATTGTTGAGAGGGAGAAGAAGAAAACATGGTTGTGGTTTCTAAATTTGTTAGGGCAAGATTTGAACATTGTGAATTCCCATTGTTACACTTTCATGAGTGAAAAGCAAAAGGGCCTAATTGATGCAGTGACTGAGCTCTTTCCAAATGCCTCACACAGGTTTTGTGTAAGGCATTTGTACAACAATTTCAAGGGTGAACATAAAGGCAGGGTATTAAAGGATATGTTATGGAAGGTTGCTAGGGCAAGCACTATTGCTGCATTCACCAAAGTCATGGAAGAAATCAAAGGAGTTGATGGAAAAGCATACAATTGGTTGGCTGAAAGAGCAAGAAAATCTGTTTGCAATGTCGAAATACAGGCATCTGGTAGTAATCTGTATATAACAAATAACAGATTAAAACAACCAGCACAAAATTTATCAGTTGACTGGAACAAATTCAATAAACTAAAAATTACACACGATATTAATAGCAGTAGTTCTCAAACAGAACCTATTGGTGTTAAGACAATACAAGTTCCTATCATGCCATGAACACATTATAGACTTGAAGAACAAAAAAATGTTTCAAATCTATCATTATCAAACAAAACAGGATGAACTAATTTTTGCCTCTAGCCAAGGAAAGCGAAAATATACTTGTGTGTTGGGAATTTTTAATTTTAAAGGCTATAAACCATATAGTCTTAGTGTTCTACTTGACACTAGCGCCACAATAGACACATGTAGAATGAATGCTACACCTGAGGGTAAATGGATTTTAATGAAACATCCCATCTCAGTTAACGGAGTTAGTGGAGCAGACACCTCCATAATTCTAAAAGCAAAAAATATAAGGTACTGTTTACGTTTTCAGTTTTCTGTTTATATTTACAAAAATTTTAAAAACTCAAATAAAAACTTGTTTGGTAAAATTTTTGATTTATAAATCAGTAGTCTCAGTTTATAAATTTGCCCAAAAAATGAATGGAGATTTTATTCTTGGAAATAATTTTTTATTTGGATATTTACCAATAATGCTTGTTGATAAAACAATCAGTTTAACTCTCAACGAGCAATTGGTAACAATTCCTTTGTTGAAACAACATCATTATATATGTCATCAAGATTTCTTGCCAACTAGGCATGGTGACTTAACACCATATATAAATACTCTTGATGAATCTCACTGAATTTATAAAATTTTAACTGAAAATTTTAGTGACAATTCTTCGAAACTGTGGCACCATAGTCCACAATATTGCAGTTTAAAATTAAAAGATCCTAATATAATAATTAGGGTAAAACCAATGATCTATACCCGCCAGGATATAGATGAATTTGAAATTCAAATTAATAAACTTCTTGAGAAAAACCTCATTGAAGTACCCACTAGTCCTCATTCATGCTCTGCATTTATAGTTAGAAATCATGCAAAAATTAAAAGACAAAAGGCCATAATGGTAATTAACTATAAAAGGCTTAATGAACATATAGAATTTGATAGGTATTTGTTAGCATATTATATTAGCCGAAAGTTTCACTAAGGTCTGTCTGTAATCATTTTGTGCCCTCAGGGATTATCTTGTAATTGACCTTCTTGTAAACCCTAATCTTCATTTATAAATAGGGGGTGATATTCTATCATACCCCTAAGCTGGTTACTCAAGCTTCATGGTATCAGAGCTGAACCTCTAAGGTTTCGGCTCACCCTCGTTGGTAGACCTTTACACCAACGACACTCTAGGGTTGGAAGCTTACCTGGGTGGATCATCACTCAGCCATCAGCTCGTCTTCCTCGCCTTCCTCTGTCGTCTCCCTCACCTCGTCAGCTCGTCTTCCTCACCTCGTCGATCTCCTCAGCTCGTCTTCCTCGCCTTCCTCTGTCGTCTCCCTCACCTCGTCAGCTCGTCTTCCTCACCTCGTCGATCTCCTCAGCTCGTCTTCCTCGCCTTCCTCTGTCGTCTCCCTCACCTCGTCAGCTCGTCTTCCTCACCTCGTCGATCTCCTCAGCTCGTCTTCCTCGCCTTCCTCTGTCGTCTCCCTCACCTCGTCAGCTCGTCTTCCTCACCTCGTCGATCTCCTCAGCTCGTCTTCCTCGCCTTCCTCTGTCGTCTCCCTCACCTCGTCAGCTCGTCTTCCTCACCTCGTCGATCTCCTCAGCTCGTCTTCCTCGCCTTCCTCTGTCGTCTCCCTCACCTCGTCAGCTCGTCTTCCTCACCTCGTCGATCTCCTCAGCTCGTCTTCCTCGCCTTCCTCTGTCGTCTCCCTCACCTCGTCAGCTCGTCTTCCTCACCTCGTCGATCTCCTCAGCTCGTCTTCCTCGCCTTCCTCTGTCGTCTCCCTCACCTCGTCAGCTCGTCTTCCTCACCTCGTCGATCTCCTCAGCTCGTCTTCCTCGCCTTCCTCTGTCGTCTCCCTCACCTCGTCAGCTCGTCTTCCTCACCTCGTCGATCTCCTCAGCTCGTCTTCCTCGCCTTCCTCTGTCGTCTCCCTCACCTCGTCAGCTCGTCTTCCTCACCTCGTCGATCTCCTCAGCTCGTCTTCCTCGCCTTCCTCTGTCGTCTCCCTCACCTCGTCAGCTCGTCTTCCTCACCTCGTCGATCTCCTCAGCTCGTCTTCCTCGCCTTCCTCTGTCGTCTCCCTCACCTCGTCAGCTCGTCTTCCTCACCTCGTCGATCTCCTCAGCTCGTCTTCCTCGCCTTCCTCTGTCGTCTCCCTCACCTCGTCAGCTCGTCTTCCTCACCTCGACGATCTCCTCAGCTCGTCTTCCTCGCCTTCCTCTGTCGTCTCCCTTACCTCGTCGATCTCCTCGCCTTCCTCCGTCAATCGTCGCTCGTCGTCATCGTCCTCGAGCAGACTGTTCTTCAGTACTTCACTTTCCTCACCAACAGCTGGAAACGCCTTGACCACCTGGAAGACTATAAGCCCGTTTGCCCTGCTGATTCTGTCGGGTATAAGAAGTTCATTGCACGGGAATGGGTCTTTAAATTTTTGGCCGGCCTAAATGTGGAGTATGATCCAGTTAGGGGTCGAGTTCTGAGTATGGACACTCTTCTTTCACTTCAAGAGGCATTTGCCTATGTACAAAATGAGGAGAGTCGTCGGTCTGCTATGATGTCCCTTGTCTCTACTGACCGTTCCGCATTACTATCTACTCCTCGAGATGGCCTCAGCCTGCCTCCTCCGTCTGCTGCTAAGGAGTCTGTATTCTGTGATTATTGCAAGAAGCCGCGGCATACTCGTGAGACGTGTTGGAAGCTTCATGGGACTCCATCCGGGGGTCGAGGTGATCGGTCTGGTTCTCGAGCAGGTCGGTCCGGCCAATCTCGAGGACGTGGTTCCTATTCCTGGGCTCATCAGTCTAGTGCCGTTGATACCCTTGAGTCTAATTCTACTTCTGTTACCCAAGCTTCTGATACTGAGCTGGAGGATGCTTTGCGCCAATTGTTGGACCGCCGATCTTCTACTGCTCTCAGTACCGCTTCCTCGTCCTTTGCCCGCTCAGGTAACTTAGCATATTCTCCTTGTGCTTTCCTGTGTCATACATCTTTGCCTTGGATTATTGATTCTGGTGCCTCAGATCATATGTCTGGCTCCTCTGATCTTTTCTCTGTCTATAAGCCCTCTTCAGGTCAGGACAAAGTTAGGATTGCCGATGGTACTGTTTCTTCCATTTCTGGAAAAGGTTTAGTCCAAGTCACTCCTACCATACATCTATCTTCTGTTCTCCATGTTCCCAAGTTTTCTGTTAATCTGTTATCCTTAAGTCGTCTTACCCAGGATTTGAATTGTAGTGTGACGTTTTTTTCTGATCATTGTCTTTTTCAGGACCTTGTCACGGGGAGGACGATTGGCAGTGGTAGTGCAGAAAATGGTCTCTACTTCCTAGATCAACCGGACAAACTTGCTTATTCTTCCACCACGTATTCTACTACCCCCGCTGATTTATGGCTGTAAAATCGGCGTCTTGGGCATCCCTCATTTCATTTACTTAAGCATTTATTTCCTTCTAGTTTCGCAAATCATCATGTGTCTGACTTTCTTTGTGAGTCTTGTCAACTTGGCAAACAACATAGAGCTTCTTTTGCTCCCAGTTTGAATAAAAGTTTCGTTCCTTTTTCATTAATACATTCTGATGTTTGGGGTCCCTCTCGTGTTCTGTCTGTGAAAGGTCATCGCTGGTTTGTTACATTTATTGATGATTTTTCTCGTACTACTTGGGTGTATCTCATGAAAGATAAGAGTGAGATTTTCTCTGTGTTTCGCACTTTTCATAAGCTGATTTGTACTCAGTTTGGGGCCACTGTCAAAATATTTCGTTCTGATAATGGCGGGAAATACATAGATTCTGGGTTAGGACAATATTTCTCTACTCATGGCATTATCCATCAGACCTCTTGCACAAATACCCCTCAACAAAATGGGATGGCCGAACGCAAGAATCGGCATCTTCTTGACATGGCTCGGTGCATGTGTTTTTTTATGAATGTGCCTCGGCCCTATTGGGCCGACGCTGTTCTCACCGCTGCCCATCTTATTAATCATCTCCCTACCCAGGTCTTGGACAAACAGGCTCCGCTTCACGTCCTCCTCGGTTCTCCGTCCTTGTTTTCTATTCCTCCCAAAATATTTGGTTGTCTGTTTTGTCCATAATCACTCTCCCTCTCGTGGTAAGTTGGACCCTCGCTCCCTCAAATGTGTTTTCCTTGGTTACTCTCCTACTCAAAAGGGGTATAAATGTTACCACCCTTCTTCTCGTAAGTGGTTTGTGTCCATGGATGTACCTTTCTTTGAGTCCCAGTCCTATTTCTTGTCCTCTCCGGTGTCACCGTCCTCATTTCCGGGGGAGCCTTGGTGTGAAGTGAGTCCTGTGCCTCCTATGGTGGAACCAGTTCCTGTGCCTCCTATGGTGGAACCAGTTGTTCTTGCACCCCCCTATTCTACTGGGACTATCGAACCCACTGTCACCAAGAATAAAGACGGGCATGTTTATGTTCGGGACATAGATAGAAAACCAGTTAACTGGATACACGGGACCGTTTCTGCTACTCCACTGCCATCTCCTGCTTCTGATGAGAGTCTGGGTAACTTTGAATCTCTTGAGTCCATTGATCTTGATGTTCCTATTGCCAAGAGGAAGGGTGTGAGATCTTGTACTCAACATCCTATCTCACAGCTTGTATCATACTCTCATTTGCCATCCTCATATAGAACATTTGTGTCCAATATTTCCTCTGTTAGCATTCCTAACCATTTTCAGGATGCTCTTGCTACCTCTGAGTGGAAACTAGCCACGATTGAGGAAATGAAAGCACTTAGGAAGAATGGCACTTGGGAATTAACTGAGTTACCTACGGGCAAACGACCTGTGGGCTGTAAATGGGTATATACTGTGAAACACAAAGCAGATGGGTCTATTGAGCGTTACAAGGCAAGACTTGTGGCAAAAGGGTTTACTCAGACATATGGCATTGATTATCAGGAGACCTTCGCACCCGTGGCTAAGATGAATTCAGTCAGAGTACTTCTCTCTCTAGCAGCTAATCTAGATTGGCCGCTTTATCAGTTTGATGTCAAGAATGCTTTTCTCCATGGTGACCTCGAAGAAGAAGTATATATGGACATTCCTCCGGGTTTTGAGGATCATCAAACAGAAGGGAAAGTATGCAAACTTCGGAAGTCATTATATGGTCTCAAACAGTCTCCAAGAGCTTGGTTCAAGAGATTCACTCAAGCTATGTTTAAATATGGCTTCAAACAGAGTCAGGCAGATCACACCTTGTTTGTGAAATATTCCTCACATGGTAAGACTATAGCACTTATTGTTTATGTAGATGACATAGTTCTTACAGGCAATGATAGTGGGAAAATTCCTCTGTTAATGAAATATTTAGCTAAAGAGTTTGAAATCAAAGACTTGGGAAGCTTGAAGTATTTTCTGGGAATTGAAGTTGCTTGCTCTAAGGATGGGATATTTATCTCATAGAGAAAATATGTGCTTGACCTGTTGAAGGAAACTGGGATGCTTGGCTGCAAGGCATGTACCACTCCACTGGAACCCAATTAGAAATTGGGGGATGATGAAGGAGGAGAAGTTGTGGATAGGGGGAGCTATCAACGATTAGTGGGTAAGCTCATTTACCTATCTCACTCCCGTCCTGATATTGCTGTTGTCAGTGTAGTTAGTCAGTTTATGCATGCTCCTCATCAGATTCACTTTGATGCTGTCATGAGAATCTTGAGGTATTTGAAGTCTGCTCCTGGTAAGGGTCTGTATTTTTCAAAGTATGATCATCTTCGTGTAGAAGACTATACAGATGCTGACTGGGCTGGGTCCGTAACTAATAGGAGATCAACTTCAGGGTATTGCACATTTGTTGGCGGCAACCTAGTTACTTGGAGGAGTAAGAAACAGAATGTGGTTGCCAGGTCAAGTGCAGAAGCTGAGTTTAGAGCTATGGCACAAGGTGTGTGTGAACTTTTATGGATCAAATTATTGTTGCGTGATCTAGGTATTGATCAGACGGACTCCATGCGGTTATACTGTGATAATAAGGCCGCCATCAACATCGCTCACAATCCAGTTCAACATGACAGGACAAAACATGTTGAGATTGATCGCCACTTCATTAAGGAGAAACTCACTAGTGGTACCATTTGTACTCCTTTTGTCCAGTCTGGTGAACAACTTGCTGACATTCTCACCAAGGGGATTGGGAATAAACCATTTCATGACATATTAGGCAAGCTGGGCATGAGAGATATCTTCGCACCAGCTTGAGGGGGAGTGTTAGCATATTATATTAGCCGAAAGTTTCACTAAGGTCTGTCTGTAATCATTTTGTGCCCTCAGGGATTATCTTGTAATTGACCTTCTTGTAAACCCTAATCTTCATTTATAAATAGGGGGTGATATTCTATCATACCCCTAAGCTGGTTACTCAGCTTCAGTATTATATCCCAAGAAAAGACATTTTGATAAATCTAACCCAAGGATCAAAAGTCTTTAGTAAATTTGATTGTAAGTCGGGATACTGGCAATTACAATTAACAGAAGAGTTAAAACCATTGACTGCCTTCAATATTCCGAGAGGACATTACCATTGGAATGTAATGCCATTTGGATTAAATACTGCACCACAAATCTTTCAAAGAAGGATGGATTCTACTTTTAACAAACTTAAGATTTTGGTGTAGTATATATAGATGACATCCTTATTTTTTCCAAATCAATGAAAAAACACAAGAATCATCTTAAGCAATTATGTAATAAATTCCAAAAACATGGAATTATTCTCTCTCCTAAAAAGATAGAGGTAGAGAAAGAAGAAATAGATTTCTTAGGGTTAATCCTTACAACAACATGATTAAAATTACAAGAATATATTATTTCAAAAGTAAAAGAACTTCAAGATGAATTAACCAAACTAAAACAACTTCAAAGTTTTTTAGGAATTCTTAATTATGAAAGAAATTACGTCAAAAATCTAGCAAAATTGGAACTTCCTTTATTAGCAAAATTAAAGAAAGATGTACAATTTTGTTGGTCAATAGAAGACACTAATTTAGTTAAACAAATTAAAGAAAGTATTATAGTCATGTCTACAGTTTGTTTACCTAAAAAAGGGGATAAGCTTATTCTTGAAAAGATGCCTCAGATTTATGTTGTGGATGTGTATTAAAAGCGAAACTTTCTCAATTCTAGACCAAGTCCCAAGAAACAAATAGTTATGGAATTAAAAGTAAGGAAAAACCTATTTCCATAAAAACTCAGAAACATGAATTAATTTGTGGATATAATCCTAGCAAATTTAAACCTATTATTTTTTAAAAAGAAACTTTAGCAATAAAACTTGCTTTAAAAAAGATTCCATAAGTATATTGCTCTTGAATGCTTTATTGTTAGAACAAACAATCAAGCAGTAAAAGATTTTTTAGTTAACAAGAAAAATATTGAAGAAGGCCACTGACTTCGATAGTATAATGAAATTGTTACATATATTTTTGAAGTTGAACATTTGAGAGGAGCTAATAATTTTCTTGTAGATTTTTTAATCAGAAATCACTAATCCAGTGTTCTCTCTTTTTGGCTATGAACAAGGGTAAACAGCTTGCTGAGTCCGATGAAGAATGGGTAACAATTGCCAAAAAAGTAATCCCCAAACAAAAAAAGTTTGTTGTTTTTTTAGGCAGACAACTTGCAATTTACACAAATTGGAAAGATTGCAATGTGCAAGTTGTGGGATTCCCTACAGCTTGCTATCAAGCATATGACAGTTTGGCAAAAGCTAAAAAGGCTTTCTATAGTGCTCCATCAATGCCTATTTTTCAACAGCAACAAACCAATACAGTCCCTTTTGAATTTCAAAAATCTAAACCAGATGAATCTGAAATTAAAGACTTTTTTAGCCCTAGTATTCCCAGAAAAATTTATGATGAATTAATGGTTTGGAAAACATACATTTCCGAAAACTTTGTTTAGATTACATATGTCTAATTTATCATTTCAATTAGTGGAACAAACCACTAGAATAAATGAGTTAACAAAAACTTTGTTTCCAACTCATTAAACAAATGAATTGGGATCAAGATTTTAAATTTGAAAAAATAAATACTTTTCTTCAAATTTCTGAATTCATAAATCATGAATATTCAAATCCTTCTTTTGAAACAATTAGAAGAATTTGTCTTTTTGAAAAAGCAAGAACAATTCTTCCTTGTGAAATTTTTAGAATCATTAAAGATAAAGCAAAAGACCATTGTGAAAGAATTTAAAATGTTTGACTGGCTATATTACTAGTGCGCTCTCACAACCTGATGATGATGACCCTTTGCGTAGTCAATGGATTTCTAAGAATGCTTTGGTTACGACTTGGCTGATTAAGTCCATGCAACCTACCATTAGTCGGACTTTTCTTTTATTGGATACCACCGCTTATAAGATTTGGACTGCTGCAGCACAGATATACTCACAACAAGGTAATGATGCACAGGCATATGAGTTGAGGAAGAAGATTCAAGGTTTGGATCAGAAGAACAGATTGCTCGCGATGTACTATGTTGAGTTGAGTAACTTGTGGCAAGAACTCGATTATTACCAGAGTTTCCAGGCTATTTGTTCCAAGGATGCCACTTTATTTCAGCAAACCGTGGAGAATGAGCGTGTGTATAACTTCCTTGCTGGTCTTAATTTGCAGTATGATCAGATTCATGTTCAAGTGTTGGGGTCGTTCTCATTTTCCCACCTTACGAGAGGCTTATGCTCTTGGTTAGCAAGAGGAGTCCGCATAGTGCTATGGTCCATTCCTCTATTTAGGACCATTCTGCTTTGGTTGTTGTTCCTACCACCCAAGACACTAAGCCTAGTCCAGCTCAGTTTGGTACCAAGGGTGCACTAGTTGATCGAGATCGATTGAACTATGACAACCCGTACTATGCTTAATTATGCATGTGATTATGTGTTTGATATGAATTTGCAAGTTTAAGTATGTGAATTATGTGAATTTGGAATAATATCTGTTGCAATTACAACTTTGAACTGAAATTGAAAGCCTTAGAGTACTTGGTGCAATAAACAAAAACCGACTTCGTATCTATGATTAGCATGATTTTTAGAGCCTACGGTGAAATTTTGAAAAATTACGATTTATAATGTTTAATTAGCCTAATTTATATATCTCTAGCTCTTGTGTTTATCATTTTTGGTGGAGAGCTCTAGAGAGTGAGTTAGAGAGAGAGTAAGAGGAAAAGCTAGGGATTTGGAAGAGATTCAAGGGGCTAACCCTAGATTTGTATTAAGGTATGATAATCTACTTCGAATCCTTATATATATCTCATCTTTTATTTGAAATCAAGAGGAAATTGTGAGTCATGAGTTAGGGTTTGAGATATGTAATGGTTAGAGCTAACTGTATGAAATTGAACCCTAATCTCTCCATCTATGTTTGATTTGAGTTCATTCTTGTGATTGATCCATGAAATAAATTCTAGATGGTTCATACAACCAAGATTTGTTGGAAGATTCACTATGTTTGTAGGTATATTGAGCTTGTGTAAGTAATTTATGAATATATCAAAAGATGAGACCATGAATCTAAAGTTGGAGCAAGATTGATATTTTGAAGAGAAATTACACTTGTTTCATGATAGTATATCATGTTTTTGGGTTAGTTTTGCATGAATTTGGGGTTGGAATTGAGTTTGGAGAATTTCATTTTGTGTCTTTTTCGGACTGTCTCGCATTTTGCCCAGACCGCTCGTGTGGCCACGGACTCCGCACAAGTGGACCACGAACCAAACTTGGGAATTCCATTATGTGCGCTCGAGCAGCTCACACTTCCGCACAAGCGGAGCCAGACCGCTAGAGTGGTTGGCCCGGCCGCACGTGCGGCCAAGCAAGGGAGAAAACCCTGCTTCCTTGTATTGATACTCCCGACCTTCGGAACGCATTCTCAACCTTATTTAGACCCTTTTGGGAGTGAAATGATGATTAGAAACTCATTAAAGAAGGTTGTGAATTATGAAAAAAAAGTGTACGAATTGAAACAAATGATTTATCGATTGTGTGTGAAATGTTTGTGTAGGTTGTGTGCCGGGGGAAACGCTGCAAGATCAAATGCACTGTGAGTAATAATATTGTACATATATGTTCTTAACTGTGTACCTTGAGCCATGAATGGTGAATTGTGCCGACATTGTGTTTTGATCGAAATAAATGAACTTCATAAATATTATATGACATGTGCAACGTGGACCTAAGGTCGTTCCGTTTATGTTATGTGACATGTGCAATGTGGACCTAAGGTCGTTCCGTTTACACAATGATGTGCTTGGGCCCAAGGCCATTCTCTTAATGATATGATAATATATCATTGAACCAGAGGTCATTTTGAACAACTGTTAATGAGTGGGCCTGAGGCCGTTCAATACTATGGGTTCATATGTTTGGGCCCGAGGCTATTCTGTACTATGTGTGGGCCTGAGGTCGTTCCAATAAATGTTGGGCCTGAGGCCGTTCTGAAATATCTGTGGACTCGAGGTTGTTCTGTAATTATGACTATGAAAAAAGTTACGAATTTATGATTGTAACAACCCCAACCTGTGATTAACTTATAATCCATAATTACGGATGCTTAATCAGTAATTGAGATGAAATTTTGAGTTACTTGTATGTTCTGTGTTAATCATGGTTATATTTGTCGATCGTAGAAATATATGTTTGCGTTTTTGTTTCATTATGCGAATTGAAAGCCTTATCAGTGTCCAAACACGAAATTGACTTCGTTTTTGTGTTATTTAGAATTTTAGAATTTTATGGTAGGTTTAATTGGAATTCGATTTGGAATCAAATAATTAGAGTAAAATAAACACAATTGATTAGATTTAACTCAATTTAATTAACTATTGCTAATTGAGCCTATATAAGGCTAAGTGGGCTCTAGAAGTATCCATACACTTTCATTTCCTCATCTTTTTGACTGAAAACTTGAGATAGAGGGCGATTAAGTGTTAGAGTTTGAAACCAAGGGAGAGGAAGAAGGATTGGAAGAAATTGTAAAGCATTTGACTTGAGAGCTCAACCAACTTGTCATTTAGAACACAATTGCCAAACAAGGGGCAACTTTCCGTTGCCACCAGTCGCCGTGAGCCGCCATTCAAACTAGGGGCAACTTTCCGTTGCCATGCGGCATTCTTCAAACTAGGGGCAATTTTCTATTGCCTCCGATCCGAGGTTGCGCATCTCAAAGAGTAAGTTCCATGCTCGTTGAGCATCAGCTGTTTGCAAAACTAGTTTTTGAAAATTTTTACTGAGGTTGACTATTTTCTCGAAAACTTTCATTTTCCAAAACTGGACCATTTTCTTGGACCCAAAAAGGAAAATTTTCAGTGCTCACAGCCTGACTTTCATGGTTTTCTAATCAAAAGTCGAACAAGTACGTTAATCCGACTCTCATTTTGATCAAAACTTGTTTTAGTAGAAAACCAAAAAATGGTCAAAGTGATGAATTAGGGGCACAGTTGAGCCAGGCGTTCTGTCTTTCCCCCGTCGTCGACGTACTTGCCAGAAGAGCACTCTGCCCGCCGGAAGAAATAGCCGTGAGCTAACGGTGTTGAGCATGAACCCGCACCTTTCCATTGATCCATCAATCACCCCGGGGAGGGATGAAAAATGAGAGAATGAAGAATAGAGAGGTGTGAGTTGAGAGAAAAGAGAGGAAAAGGGGTTTTGAGAAAAAAGAGAGAGCTTGAGGGCCGAGTGATGTGAGAATCACAAATGAGGGAGGATGGGAAACAATACCTAGAGAAAAAGGCTCCCTGTGCACGTCTGAGTGTCGTGTTTTTTTGCTTTATCTCGGTCCTTGTCTTGAGTCGTTTTTGAGTGTCTGTGTTTGTGTTCAGGTTGTTTTGCCTTTGTTTTCCTTTGTTGAGTCGTGGTGCGCTGTGTTCAGTCGTAGGCTCAATACCCGGTCAAGAACTTATCTCTTAATTTTAAAATAAAATCGCTTTGTGCTCAGAGTACTGTGCCATTCTGCACATATGTGCAAAACAGGATTTGTTCTTTCAAAAATCGCAGGGTTCAACCCGGGTCATGTCAGAACCGTAAAGCCAGACCTATCTGAAGCTATATGGGTTCCAAATTGCAAAGCAAGAGAAAAGAGGAAATGCCGAGCATCTGAGTTTGTTTTAACTTCAGTAAGTTCCGAGATTGCATTTCGTGTGTACCTCTTCAGGTTTTGCCAATGCTCCGAAGTATAAGTATGCCTCTACCTCAAGCTCAAGATCAAGTCTGCTTCAAACCAAAATGGCGATCAAAAGTGCTCTCCCTGAGTACCATTCCCTGCCAGAGGCATCTTGGCTGTGTTCACAATGAGTTCCTAGGACACCAACTGCGACGGTGGAAACTAGAGTTCGAATGGCTGATGCCTAGAACATAAAGCTTCGGGATTTCTGGGACTAAAGTCTGGTTTAAATACCCAGGCGTGTATCCCTGGCTAGAAATCTGTATGGAAGCCCCATAGGTTGAGATAGCGTGTATGCACCTCAATTCTGGATACTGAACCAACCTAGTCTATCACCCTATTGGAGAATAGGGAAAGTTGTAAATATGATCAGAAAGAAAGGCAGCATCCAAAGTGTTCTATGTGAAGAACCCTTGTCAGTATTTCAGAGCCTTTTTACTGTAAGTTGAAGGTAAGTGTTCAAAGAGCACAAAGGGAGATCCCCGTTGGAGAATAGCGGTTCACCGCCACTCACCTCATGAGGTGCTTTCTAAAGCGCCGCTTTGTCCATTTATTGCTTTCCTTAAGCATCATGTATTGTAATGCATTGTACCTATCAAATTTCTTTCTCAGTCATGCACGATATTGTATGTATGGTTCATTCAAAGAAGTTCCGTTTAAGATCATTTATTTAGTGTATCAATCACACTTCATTCACTTTGTGTATCTATTACACTCTCACTCATTTAGTGTATCAATCACACTTCATTCATTTTGTGTACCTATTACACACATTCTCATTTTGTGTATCTATCACGCACATATTCACTTTTGTGTATCTATCACACACCTTCTCATTTTTTGTATCTATCACACTTTATTCAATTAGCGTATCAATCACACTTTATTTATTTAGTATATCCATCGTACTTGTTCACTAAGTGCATCTATCACACTTCGTGTTCACCTTTAGTATATCAATCATACTTGTTTACCAAGTGCATCTATCATACTTCGTGTTCACATTCAGTATATCAATCATACTTGTTCACTAAGTGCATCTATCACACTTCGTGTTCACCTTTAGTATATCTATCATACTTTGTTCACTAAGTGCATCTATCACACTTCGTGTTCACCTTTAGTATATCCATCATACTTGTTCACTAAGTGCATCTATCACACTTTGTGTTCACATTTAGTATATCAATCATTCTTTGTTCACTAAGTACATTTATCACACTTCGTGTTCACATTTAGTATATCAATCATACTTTGTTCACTAAGTGCATCTATCACACTTCGTGTTCACATTTAGTATATCAATCATACTTTGTTCACTAAGTGCATCTATCAAACTTTGTGTTCACCTTTAGCGTATCCATCACACTTCATTATCTTTAGTATATCAATCATACTTGTTCACTAAGTGCATCTATCACACTTCGTGTTCACATTTAGTATATCAATCATACTTGTTCACTAAGTGCATCTATCAC